GGTCGGGTTTTGGGGCAGGGGCTTAGAGCAAGGTAGGACGGGGGCTTGGGGCACGCACGTAAAACGTAGCCAGGGCGCTCTTCCGGCTGGCTTCGGTGTTCTTCTTGCCCAGAGTGATCAGCTTCTCGGCCAGTCGTTGGGCTTCCTTGGCCTTGGCCCATGTGGTGGTGATCGACTCGTGCGTGAAGAGGGAGGTGACCAGGTTGCGGAGGAGAGCTTGTCGGTGCGACGACTTGCGGCTCAGGTGGCGGTATTTGGCTGCGCCTCCGGCCATGATGCTGGTTTATCGGAGGGGGTTGTGGTGGTGGTGGTGAGTGAGTGAGTGAGTGAGTGAGAGTTGTAGGTTGGGCGGTTTCTCTACCCCCCGGTTATTGGGTGTAAGAGGCTGGAGCGGAAGCGGTTTCGAGGTGGATATCCGATCGAGTTGAGGGTGATATTCGAATTGAAGAGATACGAAGGGGGTATATGGTTGTGTAGGTGGGTGAATGAAGGGGTTGAGTCTGGGTGTGTTAAGGGTCGTGGTTATCGATTCATGCGGTTTGAAGTTCTGCGCACTGCAAGAGAAGCAAAAGATTCGGCGTTTGCCCGCATCGGCCAATCGGAGTCCGTGTCGACGGCTGGCCCCGGTCCCGCGCGTTGTTGGAATCGCTGTTACTACTCTTGGACTTGCAACAATGCATTACTTCAGTTTCTGTGGGCAACTTCTCGGGGTAAATCCTGCTTTCTCAGTTATTCAGAGGACTAAGGTATTGTACTTTATTTGAATCATATTTTCACATTGTCGCCTATTGGATTCAATCCACATCTACTATCCCGAAGACCTTGCCAGTCTGCAACCTTCTTCCGTCGCTCAATCTCTCCCCGCCTGCTTGAACTGTCCCGGTCAATAGCACTGCACCCTGCAGGCTTGCGAAACTTCGAACGGGTGTTCTCCAGCCAGTCACTGGCCTTATCTCCCAAATGGGCTTCTTCACAGGCTTTGTAAGTCGGACTCTACCCCCGATACTTATTCCCTGGATACTATTCCTAGACACCCCAGCCACGCCTAAATCCTACACGCCGTCCACGAAGCTAACCTCAGCTCTAGGCGAGTGGATTCGCCTTGACCACGACCGTCCTCTACCTGACCGTTCAAGTCCATCGGTACAACCGTCTCGAGCAACGCAACGCGATCCGCGACCAGACCCGCGCGTTGACCTGGCTGGCCTCGTCGACCGGCGCCTACGATCGCCGCTTGATCCCCAGCGAGACCGAGAAGCTGCAGGAGCTGTCGCCCAAACGCACCCAGCCGACGCTGTCCGATTTACTCAAGCACCGCTGGAACACGGAGGTGGAGACCCTGGCGAACAAGGCCTACGAGGCTAGCTGGGAGGACGTGCGGGATATGGCGGTGGAAGGGTGGAGCTCGGCAATGAGGCTGGTGAAGAACGAGTAGAGGGGGTGTGGATGTGGTTTTTTCTTAGAAGGGGGTTTGATTTTGTTATGTGTGTCATGCTTGGGCTTGTATGCTATCGGGAGTGGTTTGTGTCTCTGATACCCTTGATTTGTTGTTGGTACTTTGAAAAGTTTGGGAAGTTCTTCTACTGTGTTCTCCGCGAAGTAATTATTGCTCGTCGTTTTGGATGTGACAGAAAGTCTGGTGTAGACAGACTATCGGCATTAGTATAGATGGCCGCGGCGAAGGCCGGATATTGCCCTCCGCGCGCAGTGGCATCTGGTTTGAACCCTCAAGCTCCAGTTCCAGCAGTACCCATTCCAGGTCCGTATGCCTGGTGAGCTAGCATGAAAGCCACCTGCAGGCGAAAAGGTCATACCAGCTGATCTCTTGCCAGAGATAATCATAAGGGGGACGAAGTTCGAGTGCGAGCCCACATCTGCTTGTTCAGCCCGCCTCTGCTGTAGTCTCTGTCGCCGTGCTCACACTATCAGTATCGCTCCAGATGTCCTGACTCTCCCGCTCCACAGCACGCATAGCCTGGGCGACCTCCTCCAACTTGGCCACGACATCCAGAACGCCGTTGTTCACACGATCAAAGTACCGGTCGTTAGCCTCGCGTCTCTCGCGCGCAAGAAGAATATCCTTCTCCGTCTCCTCATCCAGATTCCGAGCCGCGCCGCCGTCCTCCACGGGACCCGACTCCCCAGATACACCAGGGCCAGCAACGCCCCGTGCCCCTTGGCCCTGCGGGGCAGCAGCAGCAGCAGCTCCTTTAGCCGGCGGAGCGGCCTCTTTCGTATCGACGGCCTTGTCATCGGCGGCCTCGCTGCGTGCCCACGCCTGCGCGAGCTTAAGCTGCTTGGCCCGGAGATCCTCCAAGGCCTCGGAATGCTTCTCCCCGAACACATGCTCGCCCGTGGTGGCACTCAGCTCCACCTCCGAGAGCGCGCTCTGCATCTCTTGCCAGATCACATCGGAGCCGTCAATATCCCCCTTTGACTGCTTGCGAGTGAGGAAGGGAGAGCCAAAGGTGCCGCCGCCAGAGGTCTCGAGGCCGCCGCCGCGGGCGGACCGGTTCCGATGCAGCGGCGGCGATTGACTGCCTCCTCGGCCTGGTCCAGGTCCCGGCCCTGTCCGACCACCACCGGGGCTGACGCCGACGGATGCCGGGGGCGGCGGGATTGAGATGTTGGAGGCATTGTGTGAGGGGGGACCTTGGAACAGGACTGGTGGGGGAAGTCGCTGGGAGCTTATCTTCCGGAGGGTTTCCATGCGGGGATCCATCTTGGGATCCATGCGGAGAGTGTTGGAGGCCATTGTGTTTTGGGGTTTATGTTGGATTGTGGACTGGTGATTATAATTAAGGCATTATACTTGGGTTCTTTGGGTAATAGCCCAAGTTTGTAGTATGAAAGATCAAGATAGCGATGAGGCTGTGGTTGGAGCCAATAAGTTTGTATAAGTCCGTAAGGTACGGTAAGTTTAGGGGCAGTTGATAAGTTAACATGCATGATGTTCCATCCGGGGTCTTATCGTTATCGATGGACTCTTCCCAGATGAAGTAAACCGACGGGCGGTGGAGACCGGCAGATTCGGAGCGGAGAAAAGGTCTGCCGTGGGCAGTCTCGCTTAGCGGCCGTTTAGGGCGAAGGCGCACAGCAGAACATTTTCGATCTAGTCGAGCGACCGCCGGCCGTGAAAGGAAGACCCCCCCTTTGACCTTTCGACTTCTCGACATCCATCCGCCCATCCAGCCTTTCGGCATCTCCATCAGTCGGTACGTATTGACGGCTTTCCTATCATTGCTATCATTCTCTGCGTCTGGTTTTCCATGTTCCCCGGTTTTTGCGTGAGATCGAAGGTGCAACCTTCCCCGAGAGAGGGAAAGAGTCCCACCGCCGATAGATATTTCTCGCCTTCAAGATTCACCAGTACGATACTTCGACATCCATTTCGCCTCCCGTCCATTCAATCAGGAACAGCAAGAGGATGCACGTGAAGGGAACATCGAGAAGCGGAGGGATCCGATCGAATACCGAGCAATGAATAAAGATGGACGGCACCGATGGACACACACCGCAATGCACATTTCGCGATCCGCGCATACTCTGTGGAACTTGGAAAACCAGGAACTACGCGATGACCCAATTGAAGGAAAGCAAAGACATCTAACGCCTTATTCTTTTGCTGCTGCAGTTTTCAGTCCTCCGCACATAATCCGACAAGATGGGTAAGGGACAGCCCCGTGGTTTGAACGCCGCCCGCAAGCTCGCGACCACCCGTCGTGAGAACCGTTGGGCCGACTTGCACTACAAGAAGCGCCTTCTCGGTACCGCCTACAAGTCCTCCCCCTTCGGTGGTGCTTCCCACGCCAAGGGTATCGTCCTCGAGAAGGTCGGTGTTGAGGCCAAGCAGCCCAACTCCGCTATCCGCAAGTGTGTCAAGGTCCAGCTCATCAAGAACGGCAAGAAGGTCACTGCTTTCGGTGGGTCATCCCTCTCTCCCTACTTGTGTGTTCTGTGGTGGATTCTCGGAGACGATCATCTGGATAGGTCCATGGGTTGCGCATTGAGTGCGACGTGAGGGACAAGAGGTGGCGACAACGAGAATATACATCACAGCGACTACACAGAACCACAATCTATATAATTGAGCATCCCGCTGACCTTGACCCCCCTCTACAGTCCCCAATGACGGTTGCTTGAACTTCATCGATGAGAACGACGAGGTCCTCCTCGCCGGTTTCGGTCGTAAGGGTAAGGCCAAGGGTGATATTCCCGGTGTCCGCTTCAAGGTCGTCAAGGTCTCCGGTGTTGGTCTCATGGCCCTCTGGAAGGAGAAGAAGGAGAAGCCCCGCTCTTAAGCAACCCACTACCACCAACACAAAGCAAGATGCTGGCTGCTACTCCGGGGGAATCATGATATTTTTTCCCGGAGGGAGGATCTCTCTCTTGGGGGGGCCCATTCCATAGCAAGAATAAAAACTTATCGGCTTGGGAGGCGACACTTTTTTTCTTCTATGGTCTGGAATCTTTTTTTCTCTTTCTGTAATGGTTCAAAGCAAAGAAAGGGGCTGGATGAGAAAGACACCCTGCAAATACAAACCCAATATTTGCGGCTTTCACTACGATTGTTATATCCATAAAAACATGGCGCCATGATTGATTTCCTTGGGAAGGGCCCAAAATATCAAATTCTTTCAAAAAAAAATTACATAGCTCGGTATTCTCGACGTAGTTTTTGGAAATGCTCGATCATACTCATACTAGGTCGCTGCAGACCGCATTCGATGAGTCCCTTTGTGTACCAAACGCCTTGGGTATCGTCTCTCATATTGTCTATGATAATTCCTTACGCCTTTTATATCCATTTTGGCATGTGACCTTTCTCCGGCCATGAGAGATCCAATTGTTCATAAATCCGCTTTTCTTTTGCCATTGTAATTTTTTATCTGATTCTGCCTTTATTGGCCAGGCTTCAGACACTGATATCCTCCTTGCGGTAGTGATCCGACACAATACGGTACAGATAAGATGGCGCATGTCCTCCCCTAAAACAGAAGTAAGTGGTCAGTACTAAGTCAAACAGTGCGGAAACCGTCACAAGAGATGGAACGTACAAGTTCGTAATGTAGAGGTCAATCAGTTCTGCCGGAACATAGTCGTACAGCGGGTTCTGCACGTCAATCTGATCCACCAAGTCGCCATCCTCATAGCTGATGACCTTGCTGGCGTCTCCGTACTCAATCAACGAGTCGAAGTCAAACGGATAGACCGGGCTCAACTTGTACACACCGCTCACCACAACAACAGGGGTCTGATGCACCTTCGCGGCGCGAGCGATGACCCGAGTACCGGCTGAGGCGACCAGTCCACCGTTGGCCAGGACGGAGTGCGTGCCTAGGATAACCTTGTTGACACGGGACATCAGGGCAAATACCGCGGAGTCGGGGATGAGGATGACGGTGATGCCCAGAGCGATCAAAGGCTTCTGGAAGGATTCAGTGCTCAGAAGTTCGTCGTCGTAGGGGTTGGCCCCGCTGACGGTTGCGTGCGTCGCCTCGTGGTTGTTGGGGAAGGCTTCGGCATGGATGACCGTGAACTTCCGCTTGGCCGCAGCTTTCAGCAGGAATTTCTGGACCGTGGTCGATGAGGTGTGAGTGAGAATAATTTCGTTGGAGTGGATGTGGTCCAGAGCATAGGCCGCGATCTGGTCGTCGACCTGCGTCAGTTCGTCGATGATTTCGCTGATACCGTCCAGAACTTCCGCCCGAATGTCTTTGCTGGGCGCGTGGCCTAATAGCCGACCGGAGGGCGACGCGGACACAGGGGTTCCAGGCAGGGAGTTCTCGGTGTCGGGGTGCGAAAGCAGACTAAACATAGAGATCGGGGCGGCGGTCAGGGCAGGCAAGGGTTGTCTCGATGCGCCACGGTCGGAGCCGTCATGGCGAGCGGAAAGAACATCGGTGGGATCTATGGTAATCCTTCGTCGTTAGTGCCGGCTTCGTCTTGAACCAGACATGCTACAAGGCAGATGCCATACCGTCGAGACCACGAGGGGTTTGAGGTTGGCTTTCAGAGCCAGCTTCGCTAAGGTTGAAGTCGCCCTCACGGTCGTCTTCGGCCTCGTCACGAATCAATCCGAGCACGCGCCTGACGATGTTGCCGACCACCATCTCCCGGGGCTGAGCTGCCATGAGCCGTCTTCCAACATTCTGCACCCGCTCAATCAACTTGTTGGCATCGTTTGTTCTAGAGGCCGATATAACACCGCGCAGCAGATATGCAGTCGCAGTAGCACACGATCTGGAATGGCGGATTTGTCTGCGCTTGAGGAGCCTGGGGGTATGTCAGTACAGCTTCGATCTCAGTTGCAACCAGCCGGCGCGTGGTGAATGACACGCACGAGATCAGATTGTCAATGGATGTGTCAATGGGGTTGGTCCTCAATGTCTTGAGGAAGGACGCCAGGCCGGGCGTCAAGGGCCCCGAAGTAGCAGGCATTTTGTTTTTGACGTTAAATTAGACTGCCAAGGGCTCTGATCCAGCGATTCAAAGTCTAATCTAGACGGAAGGTCACCAAGCTTCAATGGTGTTTTGGAGCTATATGCAGCATTAGTGAGGCAGAACGGTGGAGTCATCGGGTTGGTCGCACAAGTCGCATACCAGGGAAACTCGTTGGGAAGTGTTAGCGCACTCGCAACAACTGTCAGCTCGCAAAATGGTCGCCTCAGAGTAAATTCCCGAAGAAAGCGACTTCCTTCTGTAGAAAGAGGTCGAGGTAGGTGTAGAGAGGACTGTGCAGCCGAGCAGGGAGAGAAGAAAGAGGGGAGGGGGAGAGTAGGAGGAAGTGAAAGGCGGAAGAGCCAACCTTAGAGTGGGATGGATGTGACGGAGGGAGATTTTGCCCGCTCGGCCCAACGAACCATCGCAGTAGCAGCCGTAGTAGCAGCCGTAGCAGCAGCCCATACATACAAGCAAATAATACATACGGTAACTAAGTTATGGATTGGTTGCCCTTCCCTCCTCCTCCTCCTCCTCCTCCTCCTTCTCCTCCACCTCTTCTCTCTCTCTCTCTCTCCTCCTCCTCGGCCTCTCCCTCAACTCTCCTCACATTCTCTTTCCCTTAACCCCCTCCCTTTGCCGTTTAATCCCACGCCCTCGTCCTCGACTGTCTGTATATAGTCGTCTTGAAACATTACGAGGGCTCTTCTTCTATCCTCCTCCCTCACTCCATCCCGCTTATCCGCCCATCGGTTAGGCCAAGGACTACGGCGACGGCTATCGCCCACCAATTTCGCCCAGCCCAAAACCAGTTGGGGTCAACCGTCAACAGTTATCAGCACGGGTTGTCGACTGGCGCATTGAGGTCGGTGCAGCTCGATGTCTTTCCTCTTTCGTGCATCGCATTTCTACCTGCAGTTACTTCGTGACTTGACTAGGTGCTGACCGGCGCCTCCGCTCAACATAACTAGACACCTGCGCCAGCCCGGACACCCGTGGGCCACGTCGGAAGATGAACTCGCTGAACATCTTATCGTCCCGAGTGATTGGCCAGCCTACCAGTTCCAGTAGAAGTCGGCAACGATCTCGATCGCAAGGAGAGATTTCCCGGGCAATTGAACCAGGCGATCTCGCCAAGTTTCGGTCCTATAGTGAGAGCAACTTCCATGCTTCCGAACACCATGAGAAAAGCCACGATGTGACGCCCGGCGCGCCAGATGACCTCGCAAACCATGAGTACACGCTTGACGAGAAATCACCCTTATTACGAAGTCTATCCAAGGATCGCTCTCTGGGCACAAACAGCACCATAGGGCTGTTCGTGCACCGGTTCTTCGATGCGATTGCTGAGACGATCAAGTTCATTTTGTCAACCTTGGCCGCGCCTGGATTTTTTGTCGTCCACTGCTTTCGCGAAGACGATGGGCATTACTCTCCACTGGCTCCATTCCGCAAAATCAGCCGCCTGATTCCGGGTCGTTCCAAACGATCAGGTCCTGACGCGCCGGGCAAAGGAGGGACTCCAGCACATGGCAAACAACGAACATCACGACGACCCAAAGCTCATAGATCACGCGAATCAATTGCCTCGAGCACTTCGGAGTCGGAGGGGGATCGGCGAAGCGCCAAGGGACTCAGCAGCAGTCATTCTCGGTCCGTCAAGTCTAAGTCCTCCAGCTCCGAGCATGCACCGGACGACAACATCCCTCGGCGATCTATTCGAATCAAGCTTCATAATGAAGAGGCATTCAAGCGGAACCGGCAGCGTCGTGCGCAAAGCACGGATTTGGGACAGGCGTCGCAGAATGGATCCCAGGGCGCTCTCAATCTTGATAGCTTGAAGTCCCCGACCTCCCCGTCGGTCCATCGAGTCACTCGATATCCGCATTCGCCTGTTCCTCCTCGGCCTCTGATTCCCCAGCGCATACCTTCCTACACGGCCAACCTACGCAACACGAAAAGCCCACAAAAGACTCTGGTCCTCGATCTCGACGAAACACTCATCCACTCCCTGGCCAAGGGTGGCCGCATGTCCAGTGGCCACATGGTTGAAGTCAAGTTGTCCACGCCGATGACGACCGCTCTGACTCCAGGCGGGCCTCCGACCACGCTTGGTCCGCAACATCCCATCTTGTACTATGTCCACAAACGGCCTCACTGTGACGAGTTTCTGCGCAAGGTGTGTAAATGGTACAAGCTGGTGGTTTTTACTGCGAGTGTGCAAGAGTACGCCGATCCGGTCATCGACTGGCTGGAACAGGAGCGGAAATACTTCCACGCGCGGTATTACCGGCAACATTGTACCTTCCGCAACGGCGCGTACATTAAAGATCTCAGCTCTGTTGAGCCAGACCTGAGTAAAGTGATGATCCTGGACAATAGTCCTATGAGTTATATTTTTCACGAAGGTGCGTATGGGTTTGTGGATTGTAGGCGCAGCTCCCCCCAACTGACCTTTGATCGCAGATAACGCAATCCCCATTGAGGGCTGGATTAATGATCCGACGGACAACGGGTTGCTCCACCTCGTCCCCATGTTAGAAGCTTTACAGTATGTAACCGACGTGCGGGCTTTCCTAGCCTTGCGTAGAGGGGAAACAGAAGCTTAGCTTTGACAAGGAGAAGAAGGATGGACCCGTGGCAGTGACGGAGTGACTTATGGCCTTTAATATAATAATAACCCCCCCCCCCTTTGCACAGAAAACACGAAAAAAGAATAAGGGAAACCCTGACCGGAATGTTGTCCAAGCTTGATGTTATTACGGAAATCTCACAATGCATCCCATGGTGATCAGATCCCCATGTCTCTGCTCTTGTAAAGTTGAGAGAGGCATGAGGGAGGGATGATACAATGGGCTATCGTCTCTCGACCTTCTCTTCCTGACTGTCGCTTATAATTAATATCTCGGTCGGCATCCCCATCCATGCCTCCCTTTCCACTATACTCCTGGCAACGACTCTATATATTCTTTCCTGTATCGCTTCCTCGTCCCTTGTCACACACTAATCTC